AGTTTCTTGTTGCTTTTGTGGAGGAAAGAACTTTTTGAGGTCCTTACTTTGCTATTTTCACTAATGTCACCTCGATAGGGAGTTTGAATAGGCATACTTGATGCATCTGGAAACCACTCGGCCCAAATACCATGGTGCTTTTTTATTTTTAAATATTTTTATTGATTTCAGAAAGGAAAGAAGAGGGAGAGAGAGAAACATCAATGATGAGAGCAAATCATTGATTGGATGAGAATCATTGATCGGCTTGCCTCCTGCATGCCCCACACTGAGGACCAAGCACGTGCCCTTGACCAGAATCGAACCTGGGACCCTTCAGTCTGCAGGCCAATGCTCTATCCACTGAGACAAACCTCCTAGGGCAGCATGGTATTCTTTAAAAAAATTAGGCTTATGAAATTTAAGAAGAGGAATAGAGCCCACCTAATAGTTAAACTCCTGTGGAAAATGTACATTGTTCTATCACTTCTTTCTCCTTCCTAAACTTGCTTTAAGTCTAGAGACTATAAAAATGAATGAATGAATGAATGAACAAATGAATGCATGGGCCAATAAATCAACTGCATCTGTGGCTCATTAAAACATCCAGTACAGGGATTTACAGAGAAAGGGCACTCAAGGAACGGTGCTGAATCAAAATAGATTGGCTCACAATAGGCAAAAATTTTCTCTTCTCTATTATATCTTATCCTGCTCATAATATTAAATCTCCAGGTTTATATTTATCCTATATAAAATTGTGTAATCTTTTATCATGAATGCTTCCCACTTAATTTTTATGAGGTATATCTTAGTTTGGGTAGAAAATGAGTCCTGTCATATAGTTTTAACAGTAAATTTTTTCCATACAAGAAAGGAACAAAGGAACCAGGAGGGACAGAAGAAAGGAGGAAGGAAAGAAGATATTTTTGCCAGTTGTCAAGGTGTTGGCCACTGGCAAATTGCAAAAGTATTTTGACTAATATGCAGCAGAGATATAATTATTTTCCATCAGAAAACTCTTAACTAGCTCAATTGAAGGACAGTAGTTAAAGAAGCCTATTTGGAAAGGATCCAAAAAGATTGTTGTGTCTTCTTAATTTGTTATAATGAATGAGTCATAATATTTTAAGAGGATTAAAGCTGTTTATAATGAGAGTGCTACATTTAAAGGACTAAGGAAGCTTTAGGAACAATATAATATGATTGTAATACAATATAATATGATGGGATAAGATAACGTGATTCTTCCATTTCTTGTTCTTACAAGCAAATTACAAAACATAATACTAAGTGGCTTTTAATTTTGTTTCATTCTTGTCAGAAGATGTGAAGGTGAAATAGAACCTGGTTACACACACACACATGCTGGGGTCCAACCCCAGCAGGTCCAGGGGTCCCCAAAGGTGTGGACGGAGTCGGCGAAGAAGGAATGACACGGAGACAGCGTGCAGTTGATCAGCAGCCTAGCCAGGATCTCCGGCCAAGTTCTGGTCTGGATCTCCAGAGAAGTTCTGCCGTTTATTGTCTTGTTACATCCGTATTTATACCAGTTGATTTTAATCCTGTCAATTTCTATTACAAAGGTTAGGGCGTTTCTTATCTCCATTCCAGGGAGTAAAGATTATGTAGCTTAAGTGTGATTGTTTGTAGTTAAAGTGATTAACTACCAGCCTGGCACTTAAGTAAGGGGTTTTATTCCCTCCCTAACTTCAGGGAAAAACCCTACCTGGGGAAACAACCTTTCTGGGAGAGGTGACCTTGGTTAAAACACATAGCGCCAAGAAGGGGAATGCATTTTG